CTACACACGATAACCTTGGGACCTTTCCGTGGGGACCTGATGAAGTAGTTTAGGAATTCAATGATGATGTCATTGAGGTAACCTGGACAGGAAGAGATCGCCCATTTAATGCTATTTGTGATCACGGTAAAGTAGAGAAGCGAGTGGGTGGTATAAATTTTGTCATGTAGAGCTTGAGCACAAACGTCAGTTTGACGAGCTAATGACTGCAATCGAACTTTTGTGGTTAAAATAATACGGATGAATACAACCGTCGACAAAGTTTTGTCATGTAATACCTAACTTCAAACTAAAATAGTGCCGTATTAAAGGAACACGACATCAGCAAGCCCTGAAAAGAGTGTTAAAAATTGCAAAGGTCGAAGACAGAAAACATTGAACGGTACGACATAACGGTCAAAAGATATGTTGGCCGACAAAACCCAATTCCATAACAATGAATTAGATGTGACAAGTGCCCTCAAGAACAGCGTGAAGATCGATGTTTGGAGAGGCTTCTAATGTGTGGTCGTTGACATTGTAGATTGTTGAATAAAGCACTGAGGCTGATTTGGACTACGCGGTGGTAATCAAATGCCTGAAGCAGACCACTGTGATGAACCATGAACGTGACGAGAAAAAAAAGGAAAGGAGAAATCTTCATTATCGCTATCATCCTCACCATAATTATAATTACCGCAGTCATTATCATTGTCACTATTATCATCATTGCGATTATCTTAACCTTTTTATTTACTGTATGCTCTTTTTAATGCCAAGGTATACTGCGAAATATAACTTCAATGATGCTGAGATATTTGCAAAACTCCGGACTGCAGGTGTCTACGGTGGGGGACGAACGCGCTACTGTCCTTTCCGGGGAGTAACGTGTTCACCACCACACCATGCGGGTCCTTTGTTTCGCCTGTCTCTCAGTTAGTTCTATCGATCTTTTGCCATCAGCAATCACCCGTCAACGAGATTGATCTGGAAAGCCCACATTGGCATAGAACCCAGCTAAGCTGAGGCTGTAGATGAAATTACAGTGTTTACTTCTTATTTTCTGCCTACTACAATCTTCACGTATTATGTGAAATACAACCACAACGATGCTGAGATATTTGCGAAACTCTGGGCCGCAGGTACCTGCGGTGGGGTACGAACGCGCTGTTACTCTATGTGGTTACGGGTCGAACCCGCGCCCCGAATTCACTAAGCCTTACATCATTCCCTGTAAGGCATATTGCAACAAGACCTATCTGAAATATAGCACCATTGGCTTGATATATCGGTAGACCACCGCGAGTCATTGCAAAGGCCGGCTTAATGAAGTCGAATGCATGGCGCGTCCCTCAGAGATAGAACAACGCCGAGAGCTTTATCCTTCACTATTTTTGTCTCTTCTGATCAAACACACACAAAAAAACTACTTCTCCGAAACATTTACCCAACAGCGACACCCGGGTGCACAGGAGTAGACGATGGATTGGCTACACTTCGCACGGAATATGACCATCTCTAACGGCTACGAAACAGCAGCCACTCAGGGTTGGTCTAGGAGAAGAACTAGACAGCAAAAGAATACCATTCCGCACAAAAATGAGAAGATCGCTTTCAAGCTGCATTTTATGTCAAACAAAACAAGCACCGCTACTAAACGATTCCTAAAGAACAGTTGTTTAGAAGAATCCGTGGAAATTACCGAACGTCCAATTATTGAACTTCCGCCCAGTGTATAACAAATTTTTCTCCTTGATGAGCAATCATGATGTTGTGATTACACATTATTTTTCCTTTCGTTCGTTCCCAACCGCAGACACTTGCGGTCGCGGTCTGGAGTTTTGCAAGTATTTCACAGCACCATTGTGGTTATAGATTGTTTATTCACAACAGCTCACGTTTCGGTGGATTTCGCTTTCTTCAGAGTCTGAAAAGATCAGCTGGAAGTTAGAAATCAAGAATTCAATTAGAATGAGAACCAAACAGCTTCTCCTCATCCTTTTTTCACGTGGAGACCAACTTTATACAGTTTAAATGGATGGGAAATGTGCCTATCTCACATTGAAATATCATTTTTGAGTATTGTGTGAGATAACGCTTTATAACGAGGCATTACGATCTACGATTTATTTTCAGACTCTTGGATCTTATCCAAAACACACAGTTTTGCGCGCTGAAGTTTCAGAAAGCTCCCAACGGTTTTCCGCCTCATAGTGGTTGAAAGGTATTTCTGGGTGTCGGTTGGGCTACGATCTACAGCCGGTAGTTCATCTCCTCAGGAAGGCCTCCCTACCTGAGAAGTCTGACGCTTCCATGCAGAGACCCAGATAACAGAATTAGGTGGACAGTGAAAATTAAGTAATTCCAGGAATCATTACTATCCTAGTGTCAAACTACGGCCTTGTCTCAATTTTCCGATCTTCCGGCATCTCTGCATCTTTTGGTGTAAGACTCGAATTGTGTTGTTCTAAAGTTAATGCAAGATTTATAATAATAGTGGTAAAATAGTATATTTATCCTTCCAGGATGTGTCCTATACATTTCATTCATTTTTTTATAACCTGTCTTCACGTCTACTGTGCGAACCCTGGCACTTCTCACATTCAGTTCGTTTCCTAGCACACATCGCCCACGATGATTTTCCAAGTTTTCATATGTGGTTTCGGTTGCTGTTTGAGGATTTTTATTTCATCCTGAACCTCATAGAATCTCAGCCCAGCAATTTTCCCTGGAGTCCTGAGATAGCCGAGCTGGAAAGTTTCCAATTGGATTGCAGAGAGTGATTTTTTCCCAGATAAGTCCGGTACCAATTTTCCGACCCCGGAGCGGAGTCGAACTAGCAACATAGTCGTGATGACGAGCATCGGTACCAGTGTGCTATCCGCCCCTCACTATTCACTTTAAATTCGGCATATACAGTTCTTGAAGATTTTATTAGTTTTGTGCAGTAAAAAGATCACAGAACGGACTTATCATACTATAATAGCTGTTGGAAGTAGTTGAAAAAGGCCACATAGCCTGAGTCCTGAGATGGCTGGGCTGGAGAGCTCCCAATTGGATTGCAGAGCGTGATTTTTTCTCAGATAAGTTCCAATTTCCCCGAACCTGGAGCGGAATCGAACTAGTACCATACTCACGATGATGGACATTACTACCACTGTGCTATCTGCCCCCTATATGTATATATCACTACAAAGCCTATTTTATGCATTTTCGCTGTGTGATAAATTTATAGCATGGATTGTACTTCGTTAAGTTTTAAAGGTGAGCATTTTAATTGGCAAAACAGCATTCTCAACAAATCTGTTTCTACAAATCCAAACTGGATTTAGTGCAGCGCAAACAGCTCGGAACGTTAACACTCTTACGACAAGTGATCTGTATAGGTGTCATAATGCAATTGCATGAGCGGCCGGCACGACACCTACAGGTTCCCTCATCTTCCCTGTGGTTTCTTTTAGTGAACAGAATTTTTCAGAAAAAAAAGAACAGAACAAAATTTAGGCTTCTTGCAATCAATTGGTACCTCATCCAATGCAGATGCCATGGCGGGCGTCCTTCAATGGAGGATGTTTTAGCAATGATTCCTCACTGATTTCTCATTTTGCTATCAGGAACCTACTGCTGTTGAAGAAGCTGTGTATCCCAGAGACTGTGGCCAGTAAAGCGGAGTAGAAATGTAGTTACTGGCAAAGCATGCAGTGCGCCGAGTTGTGACAAGAAATTCGTTGTTTCTTCATTTTCAATCGCCATGATGGCTTTTGGGTACTGTACGGGATGAGGGGATATCAAGGTAAACATCGTAATATACCTTGCAAAACTTACACAACTTCATGAAATGCTGACAGTAGTATCACTGCATAGTGGACTGGTGTTCTTTCTTCACACACAAGAGTTATGAAGAAAAGATAAAGCTCTCGGTGTTGATCAATCCCTTAAGGATGCGCCATGCATTTGACTTCATTAAGCATCGTTTGGAGGTGATTGAATGCATATCTGGCCTTTACAATAACTCGCGGTGGCCTACCGATGTATGAGGTCAGTGCTGCTATTCTCCCAGACAGGTCTAGTAATAATTTGCCAAGCCCGGAGAGATGGAAGGCTCGGTGGGTCAAGGGTGCGAGGATCGATCCCATGTGTATCCCACGTTGCCTCCAACCACTGTGCTACACGCACCCACAAGAGCTGTACACGCACCAAAAACATGGGAGGATGTATAGAAGAGCACAGAGCATGCATAGGATAAGAGTAAAACAGAAATTTTTAAAACGCAGAGAAAAACCGATTTATAGAACTACAATCACCATAAAAAGGGCGTGGCTACAATGGATCGCTGGAGTGGCCGGTTTGACATCAGTAGATGTCAAAATGAAAACAGCGAAAAACTAGCGTCGCTCACTCCGCGGCAAAGCGGAAATTAGTCGTGTCGAGAAAGTGTTTTGATGAGATATGGGGCCAAGGATGTGATAACGAGTGCACTTTGCGACGCTGGTTACAGAAATTTCGTCTTGGCGAACCTGACGTTGAAGATGAGGAAAGTCGCAGACGCCCTTATGCCATTGACCATGATGAATTGCAGGCTTTGTGGAAAAGAAATACAATCTCAACTGCTCAAGAAATTGGCGAAGAACTTATTGTAAGCATCGAAAGTGTTCCGTAGCATTCGAAGAAGATTGCAAAGCAGAGAAAGTTTAGCAAATTGATCCCGCAAGAATTGGAAACACGTCGTACTGCCGACGCTGCAAAGGTTAAACAATGTGGGCTACGAAACTCTGCCTTACCTACCACACACGTCCAAGCTCTTACCAACGACCATTTGTTCATGACGGCTGCTACCCAAACAAGCAGAGCTAGGCGCCAATACGGTAAAGCGTGTGTTATAATGTGTCGTCCGTAATTGCGAGACATTCCTGATTTCTACGCATGATTATTGCTGAGCTCTGCATTTAATTTGGTTATGCTAGAAATCTCACAGATTCAGGTGCATAGTCTGATTTTTCCCACCATCTCAGTTTTTAGGCAGCGTTAGAACGCCGGATAAGTGCTGTGTGATGGCGAAGTACTGTCTGAGTGAGTTTATCAGCCAGCTTTTTTTTGATATAGTTTAGGCTAATGTTATTCTTTCAGAAAAGGTTAGCAAAAGGCAGAGTTGTGCCAAACGTTATAAAATTGAGAAGAAAGTCAGGGAACATAATCGCAAGGTCAAGAAAGAGGCTAAGAAACTGGGTAAGCTTTCTTTCGGTATTTTTTCAATACATTGTTTTGTTTTTGTCCCAGCCAATCATCTGTTTTTCAAGGTCGGAGAAAGAAGAAGGAGAAGGTGATTACAGTACCAAAGGCTTGCCCTTTTAAAGAGGAGATCCTTATGGAAGCAGAGAAAGTTCGGGAGCGTTTGAAAGCGAGAGCTGAAGCAAAGAAGGTAAAACTGGCAAAGTATTACTACTAATAGAGAGAGCTGGAACTAATGAGGCGTATATATATATATATATATACATATATATATATATATGAATGTATGTTCGCGCACCCATACATGTGTATACGTATATGTATATATATATATATATATGTATATATATGTATATGTATATATATATATATATATATATATAAAGGATGAAGGACAAAGCTCTCGGCGTTGATCAATCCCAGAGGGATGTGCTATGCATTCGGCTTCATTGAGGATCGCTGGAGGTGATTTAATGCATATCTGGTCTTTACAATGATTCGCGGTGACCTACCGATGAATCGAGCCAGTGCTGTTATCCTCCCAGGCAAGTCTGGCACCAGTTTGCCGACCCCGGAGGGATGGAAAGCTTGGTGAGCCACGGGCGCAAGCTAAGATCCCTGTCCGTCCTGCAGAACGCCTTGGAGCACTGTTCCACACTCGCCACCATATATACATACATATGTGTATATATATATATATATATATGCTCATATATACCTCCCAACGGTTTACCGCCTCATCGTGGCTGGAAGGTGTTCCTGGATGTCGGGCTGCGATATACAGTGGGGGATCTGTTTCCTTGGCAGGGTCTCCCAAGCTGAGAAGGAGTCTGGCGTTTCCATCAGGAATCCTAGCTAGGAGGAAACCAATACCAGGATCCACCACCATCCTGGTATCAAAGTCGCATGGTGGCAAATCTCCCTCTGATACACAAGGGCTGCGACTGTCTGTCGTGGTGATGACCTGGAACAGACTCTGGCCAGGCTGTTCTCGGGATTCCAGGGAACCACAATGGCTTAACCAGCAAATAGTGATTATGCTGGAGCTCGCACAACTAGTGAGGATGGGCCGTTCAAGTATTAAGTATCGAGTATATACATATATAACACACACGTGCATATACATATGTATATATACGTGTGTATATACTTTTCACGAAGGTGTGTGGAAGTGTACGCATAAGTTTATATGTACATTCTTATATGTTAAGTGCATTTGAAATTCTCAGGAGGCAGTTATCCAAGCTCGTGCAGAGAAACGAAAAGGTTTAGTGCCAGCAGATCTTCAGTCGCTTGCTGCAAGAGCAGAAAAAGAGGTTACTGAGTTGTGGACACCAGGCTTAGGATTCTTAAAAGTGGTTTCTTTAGGGTGAAGCATTTGAAAGGGTGCAGAGTTCCAAAAGTGACGCTGTTGATGGATTCAATCCTTTAAATAACAAGACCATCAAAGCCTATGCTGCTGAAGTACGAAAAATGATAGAAAGCGCCGATATCATCATACAGGTAAGCCTGTCTCTTCATTGAAAAGTGTTTGCAGGTTTTTGAATATCCGTCATTATCTTTGTGGGTACTGGATGCACGTGATCCTCTCGGAAGTCGTAGTTCCTCTGTTGAACAGCAAGTCCTGGGCAGTGGCAAACGTCTTGTACTTCTGTTGAATAAGGTACTTTTTTGTTTTTGATGCTCGTTTTCGGAAGGCGCCATACTTTCTCTGCTTGTTTTGCGTTGTTTTGTGAAGTAATTTTGTCGTGATCTTGTAATCCGTAGATCGATCTTGTCCCAAGAGAGAATGTTGCGAAATGGTTGACGTATTTGAGAACACAGATGCCCACTATAGCATTTAAAGCCAGTACACAGGAGCAAAACACAAACATAGTACGTTCGATTTTTTCCTTTTATTAGGGATCTGAAATCAGGAAGGAAAGACCCTGGTTCCACCACCTCTCCAACGCTCTCCTACACCACGTGGGAAATGTACCAGCTAAGTTATCACCTAAGTTGCAAGGAGAATTGACCGACTCGATCAGAATTCTACGACATTCGTAAAGGTGAAGAAATCCTCATGAAGCAGCTGGAACAATGCGCGAAATGTTTAGAAACTTTTGTGGACGATGAATACAAGGAGAACAAATTGAATGGAAGGAGGTCTGGGATCCGCACAATAGGTGTGATGTCTTGGGTACTTGGATACTTGGACGGCTCGCCTTCTCTGGTTGTGTGGGTTTCAGCACCTTTCCTTTTTTTCAGAGTTTAGCTGGTTTATCTATTATGGTTTTCTGGAGTCCCGAGGTCACTCTAGCCAAAGTCTGCCTCCACCATAAGCAGTCGCCGTCCTTGTGGATTAGAGGGAGATTTACCACCATGCAAATTTGATACCAAGACGGTGGTGGATCCTTGCATTGGTTTATTCTTAGCTAGGTTTCCTGATGGAAACACCGGGCTTCTCAGCTTGACAGACTCTGCTGCGGGATCAATCCTTCCGCTGTACATCCCAGCCCGACATCCAGGAACACCTAGCCATAATGAGGCGGTAAATGGTTCGGTGAATGTGATGACGGGTCATGTAAAATGAATAAATAATAGTTATGGATTTATTTGCATATTTCTGTTTAGAGTAGATTCCCCAGCTCAAATCTGAACAATTTATCATCTTCAAAATGCATTGGAGCCGATATCGTGATGAAATTACTCGGAAATTATTGTCGAAATAAGGACATAAAAACAAGTATACGGGTTGGAGTTGTCGGTTCGTCTTTTGTTATTTCTGTGTTTTATGTCGAAATTTTAAGTTACATTTAACCTGCTTGTGGGAAACATCGCTGTGCTTTCCATCTCTTTTGCCCTGTTTGGCATTAAATGCTGAGAGTCACTTGAATTCCCACTTTTCTACAGTTGAATATAGCAATATGCAATGGGCGGATACATCCGTGATTTTTTTCTTCAGGGTTTCCTAATGTTGGTAAAAGCAGCGTTATAAATAGCCTTAAGAGAAGACGTGCATGTAACGTCGGCGCGATGCCTGGTGTTACTAAGTACGTTTTACCTTGTTAGCAAATCATATCCTTTCCTTGATACTTACGTCATTGCATGGTTTAACATTTGTTTAGAGAAATCCAAGAAATTGAACTCGACAAGCATATTAGACTGATTGATTCTCCCGGTGTTGTCCTGCTAAGTGCAAAAGATCTTGACCCTGTGGAGGTATTTTTGTTCTCTTTTGTTCCATATCTTGCTTTTTCTATACTTACTTGGATACTTCGGTGGCCCATCCTCACTCGTGCGGACCCCAGCAAAGTTCCCATTTTTCGGTCTTTTGCTGGCTTAGTCATTGTGTTTCCTGGAGTCCCGAGGTTAGCCTGGCCGAGTTGTGCTCCAGGTCGCCACCACACCATGCAGTTGCAGCCTTTGTGGATCAGAGGGAAATTTATCACCATGCGACTTTAATACCAGGACGGGGGTGGATCCTGGCATTAGCTTATTCTTAACTGGGCTTCCTGATGGAAACGCCGGACTCCTCAGCTTGGGAAACCCTGCCGGGAGGATGATACCCCCTGTTGTACTTCGCAGCCCGACACCCAGGAACACCTCCCAGCCACGATGGGGCGGCAAACGTTTGGGTGGCTTTTTCTATATCTTACTTTATTTATGACTTTTATAATTGCTTACCCTGAACAGTTTTTTCAGGTTGCTTTGAAAAATACGATTCGTATCGATTCGTTGGCTGACTACGTTGGGCCTGTCTGTGCAATTCTTAGAAGATGCTCGAAAGAGACGGTAATTGGAAAACGCTGTCGACTTCCTTAGTTAATAGTGTGCTTGACAGATGTTGGTAAAATAGTGCAATTTAGTTGATGCTGCACTACTCTATTCCCGAATATCATTCTACTGATCAATTCCTTGCTTTGGTTGCCCGGAAATTAGGTCGACTCAAGAAAGGAGCGAGACCTGATACGAACGCAGCCGCAAAACATGTGAGCATACTATTTTGTTATTGGTATCGTCGTTATTGATTCATGGAGAGATCCCTTCCGTTCAATGTTGCTTCATATCGTCCAATCGCAATTACTTTGTGGTTTGTGAAGAAAGGACGATCTTTAAAACAAAAGTCATCACCTTAACTAACCGTGTTAAAGTGGGACCTAAGAGATATCTTTTAATATGTTTAATATATGTTTCATATCAGAAAGATGTCATTTTTTTTACCGTCGGTTAATAACTAAAACTTGTTTAAATACTCAGGTTTGTGCCTAGTGCAGCAATGCTAGCTATAAGTGAAAGGTTTGAATTTACAATGACTGGTAAGCCGGTAAGGTTGTAGCATGCTGCGTGTGCGAATGATATTTTGCTGCGAATATATTACACTTCCGAGCCAACATGACTTGATTTCAATTCATAAAGCGTTCGGCGTTAAACCGCCCTTGAGGAGTTCGACATGCATTCGAATTAATCATTTATCGTAGAAGTGACTGAGTACATATCTAGGCGATAGAATGACTTGAATGACAGAAAATGAACAAAATGGGTTAAAAACTTTAAAATTTGAGATTTCTGTAGCTGTGGAAGAGTTACGGGTGATTGTTGGAAGACGAGTATCATCGTGTATGTGTTAGGTCCTACGTGTCCAATCACATGCAACGTTGAGTGTCTTGAAATATCCTGGATTCATAAATATGTTGAAAGCTTGGATTGTCTTCATATTTTTTAACACTAGGACTATAACTGGCGTAGTCGTTTTTTTGATTTCTACCATATTCGTAATATTTAGAGGAGTTTAGTATGTAGTCGGATAATTGGTTGCTCGGCTGGAGCGACTTCATTGGTTGTGCGGATCCCAGCATAATTTCCATCTCCTTGGAGTTTTGCTGGTTTAGCTATTGTAGTTCGTTGAAGTGCCGTGGTCAGCCTAGGCAAAGTCCGCCCAGATCGTCACCACTACAAACAGCCTTTGTGGATCTGAGGGAAATTTTCCACCATGCGACTAGTTTGATACCAGGATGGTGGTGGATCCTGGTATTGGTTTACTGTTAGCTGGGTCTCCTTATTGAATCACCGTACTCCCTCTCCGTTTGGGAGGCCATGTTGTGGGGATAAATCTCCCTGCCGTACATCGCAGCCCGACACCGAGGAACGCCTTCCAGCCACGATGAGGCGCTAAACCTTTGGGAGGAGTTTAGTACGTAGTACATGCAAATGTAGGCACCTGCGTTATTTGTATTACTCACTAATTTGTTTATTGAAACGGATCAATTTCACATATTGTATGTATCCTACCGTTTCTTACTTTCTATTTGTTTTATTCTATCCGTTATCTACGAAATTCTTCGGAGTAGAGTGATGAGGTCGACCCGAACTTGAGGATTTTCTGTCCAGGAATGTCTCTGAATGCTATTCAAATTGGCTCTTTCCCGCTCTCGAATCCTGGGCTGGCTCTCCAACATTCTTAGGACCTCCCTACAGGGTGTTGCTGGCTTTTATGGATCGAGCGTTTCTCATAAACGTTTGATACATAACGACGTATGGAAAGGAGTGTTCGTTGGTTCTTGACGGTAGAGCCAGCAAATACGCGGGTATTATGCAAACATTTTTAACCACTGTTCTTCATGTGTCCATTTTGTTTATTAACGTTAGTCGTTGATCTACACTCCTTGGTTTAATATCTATGCAAAAGGTACTCCTAATCGTACCACAATGTGCAGCGGTCTGCTTTCCGGCTGAACTATCCAAACCGAGGAGTTCGAAATTGGTGCGTGTGGACGCAGTGAAAAGTAAGCGAAAGAGATTCATCACATTCTTAGAAAAAATCCAGGCAAGGCGAAGAATCATCCTCCTTTCGAAAAGATTTGGTAATTATCTGTTCTTGAAAAATTTCTTGCATTGATATCTAGAGTCTTAAGAAAAAAAACTACACCAGGCAGAAGAGTTATATTGGATTTTTGCCACGACAAGCGCGCTCTTTGTGGTGTCCAACCGTTTAACTGTTCATATAAAATAAAAACTCGTTCCACAAAAGGATCATTTTCTTTGTGTGTATAGTAGCTGCAACGGTTTGAAAAAAAACTGGATGCTCGATGTACAGAACTTCCGTAAGCAGCAAATGTGGAGCTCCTTCAGCCATATTGTTCAAACCCTCAGTCGTTGAAAGCACTGAGTACCTTTGATGCACAAGAATTTTAAATCCAAGCTTGTTCAGTGAGCTGATCTGAATTAAAAACGTGAGTACGATCGTTCTTGCTAAGGTGAGAAACGTACTTATGTTCCATATGTTCTCTTTTTTTTTCTTAATTGTAGCTGTCGCCGTCATCTTAATATGAGGAAAATAAACAGTCTGACCGCAACATTTCAGAAAATTTCTCAGTATACATCAAGTTTCGCCTCAAGATTGTTTAGTTTTCCGACGGAATTGCGTAACCTAACATTTAACTCCAGTTGCGTTATTCCCCAGTAACTGTTTTCTCCAGCGGGCAGAAGTGCTGATGCTCATACCCACCGCTGTATTCTTGTCCTTTATGGCTATGTTTTCAACGCGTGGTTTTTTAGGGTAAAATTTTAAAAGTTTTCTTTTCCATAGTGCTATCGGCCTGGTAGAGTGACCAATTGTAGATTACTATCGTTGAATGGGTCATAAACCTAGGGTCATATGTCATCCATTTGAGGTGCCACTGATAATTAGCTTAGTTTAACAAACACAAGTCATAATTGAAGCTGCTGCTTCAATTGATTATTTGTGTAATACGTCGATGTTAGAGCAGCCGTTATGGATCGAGATCATTTATCGTATTAGTATTGTCTTCATGCAACACAATAGTTTTTGGAGTTGGAGTTAAGAATCCCGAAACGACATTCCGGGGAAACTAGATGAGTAATATTGTCACGGTGCGCAAGCACCTCATATTTTCATCTACGGTGTAGATAGGTATTGGCATATTGCTTTTCATATAGGTGTTAAACGAATGGAATAATGGAAGACTTCGTTACTATACTCATCCACCTGAAGAAACATCTACGGTTTCCGCAGATACTGCTGTGTCGGCGGAAATTGTGAGCCAGTTCAGCAAAGAATTCGATATTGATGCTCTTGACAACGATTTAAGAAAATTAGTCGACGGTTGGTTTTGTATTGTCTTCGCGCTTTCCATTGCACTTTTATTCCATGTGTATTGCCATAAATTGCACTTTTTGCATTTCTTCTGGGGACAAACAGTTTGACATTTGTCGTACTAAATACCTCATGGGAAATCTTTTTTTTTGTTTTTTCGTCTTTTTGCTGTTTTGTTTTTTTGCTAAAAAGTGGTGTCTAAATGCGATACAAAGCGAAAGACTTACTGTTTTTGGTTGGTACAATGCGATAGCTGTTTCAGACTTCTCTCTGGTTCAGATTTGATATGCTTTTCTAGAGTTTTGTTTTCTATATGGACTTTAATTACGGTTCCCCTATCACAAATTATCTACCTTCGAAACTTACTAGTATTATTGTCATTTAGGTCTTCCCATGGACAATGATGATGCAACTTTTGTTCCATACAATTCCTCTAATGAAGACGATAATGAAGACGATGAAGAGATGGTTGTTGACCAGAGCTGTGAGTGCATACCTCATGGGTCCTTCGATTCGTGTCACGAGTTGATAGAGTGTTTTTCACTTGAGTTTTCTGTCTATCGTTTTGTGGCTTAATGTGCGAAATTTTCATTTTAGGTTCAACAGTGGTAGTGAGCAGTGGTCGTAACATAAAGACCAATAACGATTGCAGTGACAGCGACAAGCTTTCGTTACCGACTAGCTTAGAAATTGATGGTAATGTGCAGATAAACAGCATAATCAGGAAAGCTATCAAGAAGAAGAAACGCGCAGCAAAGAAGCAAAGTAAGCCTTCAGCTATATGGCTCAGTTACTGATTTTAATATTGTGTTATCGAAATACTTGAGGTATACGAGCCGAAAAGTTAGCGGAAGCAATGGACATCACATCAATATGATTTTCATTTTTTCATCTGTTTCGAATTTTTTGTTGCTAAAGTTGTCTCAGTTGTAGATTATGTAATATTTTGGTTGTTAAGGTGAAAAATTTATCTATATTCCGAGCTTGTTCTTGTTGCTAGCGTTGTTGAACGGAATAAAAATTGGTTTGTAAAAAATTTTCGGACTACTGAACACCTGAATTACAGTGACCGACGATGACTAGTGTTCTACATTCGTTCTCATTCACTTCCTCCAGTTTCAGAGCATTCCTTTATCGCATGGATTTCGTGGATTAGCATCGGGCGAACAACCGAGGAATTGTGAAGTTTGTCAAACATCTAGTTTTGCTGCAACGCGTGGAGCGCGTTGGAATACGCACGTGGTCGATGGGTCGACCCTTACTCCCGGATCACCAAATGTTCTTTCCAACCCGAGCGTGTATGGTCTCACAAACCATTGTACAGAGCGGATATGCATCACCTCTAACGACTCTTGAAGAAGTCCAGTATTACGGCGTATTCCTTGGTGGTTTATCAACGCCGAGAGCTGTATACTCTGCCGCCACGTTCAGAGCTCAGCAAGGTATACGTGGGTTCCAAACGCTAAACACGATAAAATAAAGGGTCTCATTCCTCTGACCCAGAAATAACCCGCGATACGGCAGCTTTGGTAGGGCAAGCACGGGAAGGCTGTTAGACTCAAGGACCATCTTGAGCTGCCTAAATCTCGATGTGCTAAGATAACCATTTGTGGCTACAATTCTAGCGCATCTGCAACTGAATCGTCGAAAGAGGTATTGCTCATTCAGGTAAGAAAGACAAGACATGACGTCGTCGGACTGGCAGAGACGAGACGACGCGGTTCGTTCAACTTCGTCTCTAACACCGGAGAACTGTTTCTGGTAACATACGACAACAGCGTAGACAGCGGCGTTCTTGTTAACACGAGTTTGGCCACGAATATCGATTCGTTCGAACAGCCAACATCCCAAAGCGGAGGACATTCACGGTTGAAGAGATGTGGATCAATACTAGCTCTTCTGGTCTTTGTCGTCTGCGAATCGGAATCAAGCAAAGACGAAGACGAAGTCGAAGCTTTCAGTATAGACTCGTAAAAGTTCTACAGCCTCCTAACGGTTTACCTCCTCATCGTGACTGGGAGGTGTTCCTGGGTGTTGGACTGCGATGTACAGCGGGGGGATTCGTCCTCCCTGCAGTGTCTTCCAAGCTGAGAAGGAGTCCGGCGCTTCCATCAGGAAACCTAGCCAAGAGTAAACCAATGCCAAGATCCAGCACCATTCTGGTATCAAAGTCACATGGTGGCAAATCTGCCTCTGTTCCACAAAGGCTGCGACTGCCTGTGGTGGTGAAGAACTGGAACAGACTTTGGCCAGGCTGATCTCGGGATTCCAGGGAACCACCAAATCTCCGAAAAGTGGTGGTTATGCTGCGGCCAGCACAACCAGTGAGGACGGGCCGTACAAACATTAAGTATCAAGTAAGTAAAGCTCTACATAGTAGACCACACATTTTTTAAGGTCATGATTGGAAACTTCAAAGAGCTTCGGACCTAAAAGAACGTCTGAAAAACGTCACATAGGGACCCACGGATTAGAATGGAGGGACGCCGCTGTTTGAGTTTATTACGATGACCGAGGCCATTCATGGTAGCTCACAATTCCAGAAGCCCCACTGTAATGGATAGACGTGGGAGTCTCTCAGGGGAGAGTACTTGATACTTGTATGGCCCGTCTTGACTGGCTGTGCGAGCTCCAGCGTAACTTCCATTTTTTCGGAATTTTGTTGGCTTAGCTATTTGGTTCCCTGGAATGCTGAGGTCAGTCTAGCCAAAGTCTGCCCCAGGTCGTCACCACCACAAGCAATTACCGTCCTTGTGGAACAGAGTTCAAACGAGAGGGATCAGGAACGAATCTTTTTTATCCTCTTCAACCCTTCCTCGAAAGTGTAGTAAATTTACATGGAACACTTTCACTCCGTTTCGTTCTAGTCTCATATAGCTAACCACCTTTCTTTTGTAACGGAAATGGGCATATATGATATTCAACAATATTTTCTTCTATGAAACGTGTATGTACAATTTGGATCATAAACATTTTTTGTGGGTTGCTCCTCTGTTGTGAGGTCATCTGTTGATCGCCCTTTATACTCACGGTATAAACCAGAATTTGCTCCGTTTTTGTTCATTGGGTCTTCTTCAATCTCTAGTTAATGGATGCTTTAATACTCATGTGGGTCATCCTCAAGAATCATTTGGGAGTCAACCGATGTCTATTTGTTTCGCTCTTTCCCGAATATCATCCGTGGCGGTGACATATTTCGAACATGGTAACAGCTGCGAGTGTCATAAATGGTTCATAAATCGCCATATTTCTTTTCCTTTTACTGAGTTTCTCTCTCATACGACTTCCCATGCTTATTCAAATCGTTGGATAGGTGGGAGGCAGTCTCTGAATTCAGCGAACTATCCATTCTTTACAGCCACTGTGATGACGACGTATTCGTAAAACTTGGAAAGTAGTTCAGATTCGAGCCGGCGATTATCTTTGCCGGAGGAGCACATGTTACGCACTGCTCCACTGAGGCCCTTCCTTTGCCTTTATCTCAGTCAGTTTTCTACTTAACGGCCCCATCAGCAATAACCCGTCGGCGGGATTGATCTGGGGAGCGTAAATCGGCGTCGAACCCAGTTAAACTGAGCCTGTAATCGAAATCGCAATGTTTGCTTTTTATTCACTGCCTATTATTTTTCCCGGCAGTGTATGATGTTAAATATCACCACTGTGATGCTGAGGGATTTGCAAAACTTAGACTCCAGACCAGATTGGACATCATGCCCTGTATTCACATCATACTCTGCCGGAAAAAAATAATGATTTCCTGTAAATAAATAGTGAACATTGAAATTACGCCTACAGCCTCGGCTCAACTGGAATCAATGCTGATTTGTGCTCCCAAGATCAATCCCGCCGACGAGTTATTGCTGATAGCACCGTTAGATAGGAGAATGGCGGAGCGAAAAGGAACTAAGGCATCAGTGGTGCAGTCGGTAACCTATGAGCCCCTGGAAAGCTAATCATGGGTTTGAATCTACCTTAGAGTCGAGGTTTTGCAAATATTTCGGCTTCATAGTAGTTGTATTTCACATCATGCCCTGCCGGAAAGGAATTTATAGTACCCAGCATCGACTTTCTAATAACATCGGCATTGGATTATGAATTCGTCGTTTTCTCTCTCAGCAATTGCGAGGTTGTTAAACAGCATACGTTTACTTCCATACAGTAACACACATGCAACATAACCGTATCTGACGTTTCGGCAGAATCGCCTTCTTCAAAGCCTGGAAGGGTATGGTGATATGCAGTTTACTGCGTCAAACGCTTGAATAACACATACAGAGAGATAAGAATCTAAATGGTAGTCACATGGTCAACGGCTTCTCGAGAAACCCACCGCTTTCTTCACCTGTCTTTCACCCAGGAAGAACAGCCGCCCAGAGTCGCATATGGTTAACGACTGCACCTCCCCACATCAACGATTGATACGAAGGTACGGGGTGAGATCACGCGTGATCTTGGGGCATTCCTCGCGTTGACGTTTTACTCCTTTACCTTACCGCAAACTCCTCGAGGTTTCTTGGATAAATGCCAAAAATCCTGCAATGAGCAGGGAGGAATGCCCCGAGATCACGCGTGATCTCGTCGCTTATCTTCGTATCGATCGTCGATGTGTGGAGGTGCAGTCGTCAACCATATGCGACTCTGAGCGGGTGTACTTCCTCGGTGGAAGACAGGTGGAAAAAAGCGGTGGGTTTTTTTTCGAGAAGCCGTAGATCTTGTAATCATCGTGCAGATTTTCATCTTTCTATTTGTGCTATTGAAGCGTTTGACCTAGTAAGTTGCGTATTAGTGTACCCTTCCAGGCTCTGAAGAAGGCGATTATGCCGAGACGTCAGCTACGGTTGTGTTGAATGTGTGTTATTGTATGGAAGTAAACGTGTGCTGTTTAACAACCTTGCGATTGCTGAGAGAGAAAACGAAAAGATTTATAATAGGCAATGAATAGAAAGTAAACGTCATATCCGCTTTTTTCTCATCCTACAATATGCCTTGTATGACTTGAGTGTTTTTTCGAGTTAACGATTCTTCATCGAATTCATCCATCTCTTCGAGCATCGCTTCAGTTTTGCTAGTACAAGAAGAGATGGTGAGTTTTATGCAAAGAGAAGCAATT